TTTGTTCCTCATCTCCCTGAATCTCTGAATATACTCGTGCACAGGTTCATCATGCCGCTGCTTAATCGCTGTCAAGTCAGATAATTTCATTTCATGAACCCCACTGTAGAAATAGCTGTGGAATTGCTTCTCCAAATCGGCCCAACTGTTGATCGAACCATATGGCAAGGAGGAAAACCAAGTAAAAGCCGATCCAGACAGAGATAACCGGAATAACCTAACTTTCAGAGCGTCTACCGCCGATGCATGACCTGTTGCTGGATTGGTTGTGCTGGTTGCATGACCTGTTGCTGGATTGGTTGCACAACCTGCTGAATTTGGGGTGTCTGCTGAATCGGCTGTTGCTGAATCGGCCGCTGCTGTATTAGATCAACTGCATGTTGAGGCGGCAAAAACATAGCAGCAACCTGATCTTAGGTTGGCCGATTCGCAACCTGCCCACTATGCTGTGGATGCTCTCTCATTAACAGCCGAGGGTTCATTGGCTGGCCTAGCGCCATAGCTGATGTAGCAGGTACGGGAGTTGCTGCCGGTGCCATCGGCTGAGTTGTGGGTGTAACGGAGGGAACTGCCTGAGTAGATGACTGAACGTCGGTAATCAAAGAACGATAATTTGGAAAACACCTCCTTGCAAATAGACCGGGTATTGACTAACACCCCAGACTGATTGATCAAAGCATGATGTACAACGTAATCAACCCGATCTTGGAAGTTATTGAAAAAGTCTTCTGCCACATCACTATTAAGATTTCCTCCCTGCAGCCCCTGAGCACCGTCACCTTGAACTCCATGCACCCCGTCACCTTGTCCTCCATGGACCCCTTGAGAATTGTCTCCTTGATTTCCTAGAGAGCCACCGGTAGCACCTTTGATACTCGGCTGAGCCGAGCCGTCTGGAGCTTGTTTCCCATCTCCATCCTTAGAAGAACTGGTCGCAGGATCATCAGCAACAACTTTTATTTTGTACTTCTAAACAAGTGTCCCCTTGCTGGTCTGCATGAATGAGTTCAAGAACTGATCCCGTGCTTGCTGCAACATTGCTTCAAACTCTTTCTTCTGCTCAGGTGTGAATTTTTCTGGATTAACCGGCACGACGTTTCCTTCATTGACATCAGTCAATCCCAACTTCAGCATCTTTTCCTTAACAGAGCCTGGGCTAGATGGTGGTGGTGGTTTTTCGGCCATGAGGGAGGATTGTTGGCTGATTTCTTAGTGGTCCCACCAGGCGTGCCAAAAGCGTGTTGATAGAAAACACGAGGCCTGGGAGATCTGCTTAACTCTAGTGTAGGTCCAAAGCTCGCCTTCGGGTGTGCTAGCGTGCCAGTTGATTTGATCCTGTAACCAACAAGAAGTAGAAGCAAAGAAATCGCGGTTAAATCTATAAATGATAGCCGATCGGCTAGGTGCCGATGACATATCATTTATCTTTGAGTCGATGTCATACATACATCGATCGGCAGCCATTAATAAATAAGAAGGGACTAAATCTACTCGATCGACTGCAGATATTAACAATATATAATCTTTATATTGATATATACTTAAATCAAGTGATTGGGATAGATCGGTCGCTATGCCGAGACAGTATAAATCACTTAGATCGAAATATATATTAATAATGAGACTATATACGTTCATAGCATAGCCGATCAGATAGATCTAGCATGTATCGGCTAATACTTCGATACCACCTTATATTAAGATATTAAAGCAAGTAGAATATACTAAACAACAGCCTAATATACTTAAATGCAGCAAGATCTTAACGTAAAGGGCAGATTTAACATGTCAATCAAGCATATAGGATAAAAAGTAGTTAAATCATGTAAGATCGGCTGAAACTCCCATGCTACCCTAATCAGCAACCTAGAAGCAGGCTAGAGATTGAGATTCTAATCATGACTCATAAGATCAAACTTAACTGATGCAGCTATAAGTATGAAAAGAAGGACAATATCTAGACAATCAAGCCGTTGGATGTGTCATAGAGTGGTAGATATCCTATAAAATCTAAGTCAACATCGGTATTTAACTTAATCGGCTGCCTTCTATTGACGGATGTTTAGCCGATTGTAGGTTAGATATCAATATTGCCAGGGATTATGTAGGATATATGATAACTCAACGAATTACATAAACAAGATTAGAGTGTCATAAAGATGGAAGCACTAATCCCGAGAATGCAAGCCATCATAACAAGTTTTACCTCCTGTTGAAGATCGAAACCGATGCAGCTCAACCCGAAAGTAAGAACTCGTCGAAATAAGACTAAAGCAAAAAAAAGGGTGGCGATGCGCCGAGATTGTATTGAACGTGTGTTCTTTTTTGTTACATAGGGCTCGGCGTCTATTTATACCCCGAGAATTACAAGATATGTCCATACCGGACACGACTATTATCTGTAACAAACTCTAAGATACCATAAGTCTTTGCGGCGGACTTTTGCCCTAAGCATATCTCTAAGGAAATTACGTAAAACATCCTAATTAATAGATACAATTGCCTTCTCAGGACTCTATCCATGTGCGGCAATCATCTTGAAGCATATCGACTCAACCCGATGTTGTACACCAAGTCGTTTTGTCGGAATCGGCTGTATCACCTAACCCAGTCTGATTTAGATTTAGCCGATTCTGGTCTTAGCCGATCTGGACTCCAACCGATTCTTACTCTGTTCCCGCAACAATCCTTATCTCCGACTCCGCTTCGATCCCATCCTCACCTCCGATGCTGATATTACCAAATTCGGTTGTTAACACTTGGTCACATCAGCAGAATAAAACCGAACCAAAAAGTCCAAGACCGAGACCTAGAAATTCGGTCTCAACTAACGAAAGAACAAAATTTATTCGGTTAATTTGGTTAGTGGCTTTGATTAAGCGAATTGACCGATATAACTGAATTGTGATTTGTGATGTACTGCATGTTATATGAAGTTGAGAACTGAGTATATGATTCTCGTGATTTATTCTTGCTAGTTGATCCTAACTTGTGATATATTGTTTGGTTTTTTATGTTGCCTATTATCTTGTATTTTTGTGGTATATAACTATCAAATGTTGTCTAAAAATAGGTTAAGTGCTCCCAAAATTTATCATTGTAAAATTTATCTCCTGAAATTGACACAGTTAGGTCAGGACAGATACCGAGAACCGAATTCGTTGGTCGTGACACAATTTTGCGTTTTTATTTAGTCTGCACTTTTCAATCAATGACTGAACTGACCGAAGGACGAAAGACCGACATGACTTTTTCAGTTTAACCGAATGCCCACCCATAGCAAGCTTAGCGTGCGCGGTTGGCTCAGCCCACACTTGTCCATAAACATGATGGGCCAACATGACTATTGGAGCATTAGGCCGATCGCGTGGAAATTTCACGATGGGAATTTTTAGAATGTGGATTGAGTGAGTCTGTTGATCCATGATTCAACGGGATCGATCCATTATGAGTCCATTATATTAATCGTTAATCCATAGATATCCAAATGGATAAGCTATATTAGTAGTAGACCAAGAAACTCCTATAACATCAGTGTAAAACTCGGGCTCAAAAATTTTTTAAACTCATGTTCACACTATAAAAACTTGTCAAATTCATTCAAATTTTGTTGGAATGATTTATTGCACAAAGAAGCAACTTCGTGTAAATTTTGTGCCATTTATACATGTGGGGCCCACAATGCACGACTAATAGAATAAGAAATTTCCATTATATGTGTGAAACTTGGACCCAAAAATTTTAAACTCATGTTCACGTTATAAAAACTTGTTAAATTCACTTGAATTTTGTAGGAATGTATACAGAGAAGCAACTTTGTATATTTAGACATGCGAGACCCACGATGCATTACTGAGACCAAAAATTATAGTTACATAAGTGTACCACTTGGACCCAAAAATTTTAAACTCATGTTCACACTACGAAAATTTGTTAAATTCAATTGAAATTTGTAGGATAATTTATTATATAGAAAAGCAACTTTGTATAAATTTTCGAGACCTTCATACATGTGAAGTTATTTTGGGTTGAACCCTAGAACTTAGGTTCTAATGGTTTGATTCGTTTGATCCACTTATCTTTTAAGCAATTCTAAAGGTCAGCTGGAGCAAATCTACGGATAGATTTAGGCCCTATTTAGTTCCCAAAACAAAAATTTTCACGCTATCATATCGAATGTTTGGACGCATGCATGGAGTATTAAATGTAGGGGAAAAAATCAATTACACGGATTGTGTGTAAATTGCGAGACGAATCTTTTAAGCCTAATTGCGCTATGATTTGACAATGTGATGCTACAGTAAATATTTGCTAATGACAGATTAATTAGGCTTAATAAATTCGTCTCGCAGTTTCCTAGCGGAATCTATAATTTATTTTGTTATTTTACTACGTTTGATACTTTAAATATGTGTCCGTATATTCGATGTGACAACTAAACCCAAAAATTTTTCCCAGCTAAACAAAGCCTTAGGGGAGAAATGGATTGACCCTGACTATTTCCATCTTGACGTGGAATGATATTTGTCACAGGTAGTTATGCGCGTTCACGAGAGATCCAGAAGGTCCCAGTTTCCCGCACTAGAAAAACTATCGCTGCGGCACCATTCTCCACGCGTCATTAAACTATATGGCAATTTGGACCAATCGGCTGACGGCAAAACCGCCAGCTTTAGGGTCATACGGGATCTTCATTTTTTAAAAAGAGTGTCAAATGAGTAAGTTAAGGGAATATGATCTAACATTAAGAATGAGGTCAAACGTGCAATTGTCCTAAAAGACACCAACACCAAAAAAAAACTATGACCGCTCGATCAATGGTTTTTCTTATTTTGGGGCTATTCACTTTGATGCCATTTCAAACCATACCATTTTTTTGGATAAAGTTGTGAAAAATATACATATGTTTGGTTTCTTACCAAACTTTGGTAAATATACCAGAAATTTGGCAACTGCACAGTAATGACCAAAATTGGGTAGCATGTATGTTGGCAACAAAGTGAACACATCCAAAATAGCTATCTTGCTAAAATAACTATCTTGCTAAAATAGCTATCTTACTAAGCTTTGTACAAGGTTTATTTTGGCATCAAAATGAACAACCCCTTTATTTCAAACTATAAACAATTAAATTGACTCCATAATTAAAGACACTTATATTTGTTCTGTACCTCCATACAACTTGAAATTCAAAATTAAATAGAACTAAAGGATCCAGCCTAAGTAAGAAGCCATATTGACATCACAGACAACGGTGGACCAGATAACACAGGTAGCAACGAACATCTGATTGCTGAGCCAAGCAGTGAAAAGGAAAGCTGAATTTTAGATTGCGCAAGCAAACTCGTCGATATTGTTGATCACTGAAATCTGCTTCATCCACGATATCGGACAAATGTGTATTACTGTATTATGTGATCTTTATGCCTTCAGGCTTCAGCCCTCAAACATTTCTAGAAGTTGTGACTCCAGCTGCTCCACACTGTACCTCGCTGACATTTGTTTCTTCTCTGATTGGTTTCCCATCTGCATTTGATAAACTGGGATAAGTTTCTGGATGATTGCCTCACGCAACTTCAGGCGGACATTAGGATTAGTCACCTTCCAAGTCTTTTGTACACTGTAGATCCTCTCGAAAGAAGAATTAAACTTGTCAAACAATTGATGTGGCCACAAAATTATCGCGACTTGAGTTCGCTTTTCGAACGATGAAATAACTGGATCCCAAGAAGCTTCTATATAAGCTGTGATTAATTGATCAAGCTGGTCCTCGCGTTGAACAAGACAACTTTCTCCAAGAATGAGTCCCGAATCTATACATCTCTTTACTTGCTCAATCATGAAATGAAGATTGTTCAGAAGGAATACCTGTTTCTGCCCTTGAAGTACCAAACTTCTAGAGTTCATCTCCAACATAGACTCCAAAGACGAGACCAATCCCATAACTAGTTCACCAAATGCATTTGGCTTACTATCCAACATTTGATAGATTGTGCTCTTCTTTTCAAATAGCACCCGCATATATTCTGTGATATGCCGAGTAATATGATGAACACCAATATCAACCATGACCAGTCGTTGAGATTTTATCAAGTTGTTTAGCTCCATGAACAACTGGAGCACCGTAGATGATGATCGATCGATTAGACCACGAAACTCTGCAAGAACGATCTGCTCAGTTCGCCCCGAGAACAATGCCAAGAGTTCTGGCATGGCGTAATTCAGTGCTCTGTACATCATGACTAAATTCAGTATCATCTGTGTAGTATGTTTTGTTGATTCACGGGCAGCACAGCTTTGCGTGGAGGGATCGTCTTGTGAGTTTTGCTGCCAACTGCACATTGAACTACCACAAGCAACCAATTTTTTTATGGATTGCGTTGCAATCACCATAAAGTAGTCATGCTTGAATGAATTGAATGCGCCGAAGTTTTGTTTGTGTAACTGCCGTCGCATCTCAGTAAGAACATTGAGAGTGATTCTCATCGCCCGTACCCATGCGTTCACTAAGATTTCCACCGAGTCCTTCATATGACTCCCCAAAATATTTTCTATGTCAAGAATTTCAAAATATCTGCTTGGTATTGGAGTATTGGACATGTATAAAAATGAAAAAAAAAAGTCTGGTCATTAGTAGACGCCGAGAAACTTTCATCTCTGATAAACCAACTAAAATTAAAGCTGCAAATTAAGTGCACAAGTGAGAAATTAAGGGATGCTAGCCAGGCCATGTGCAGTTCTATTATATAGACATATATAAAGTTCAAGGAGATATCCGCATTATTGCAAATAATCCAATCCTCCAAACCTTCATATTTGAATAAATATCAAGTCTACTTTCCAAGAATACAAACGATATGATATGAAGCTTTGTACATGAAGTTATGGCAATTTGAATGCATCTTCAGACAAACTGACTCAAATAATATTAGTAGCCTACTCCCTCTGGTTCCATAACCGGAGGGAGTAAATGAACAGTCCTAACCAAAAATTTTCCATGCAAGGAGTTTTTTTTTTACTGAAATTTTCCATGCAAGGAGTTGAAGCATAATTTGAAAAAAATCCATAATTAGCCCAACATAAGGCCATAATCTATGTGGATGTGCTGCATAATGCATAAATATTCAGGTAACATGATTCATCAACAAGAGTCCAAGTTAATTTATTTGTTGTTAGAGTAATAATATTTAGGTAACAAGATTCATCAAGCGCATCAGTGTCGGTTTATGCGACGAATCGACAATAATATATTCTTGGGACAAACTGATTGTGATACTCAATAGTTCATCGGCTGAATTGACAGTTTTGTATACGTGCACTACATATATTGGACCTATGGCTTGATTTTCTGGGTATCGAGATGGACCGGACCGCCAGGACCATTTCAATGAACAAAGGAAAGAGGCCCCCGCATCGTCCTCCCTCACGGGTGACACGGGAGGCGGACACCGCCGCCGCCGTCCTCCGCTCCCCCTCCTACCTCTGCCGCCTCGCCGCCGCCCGAGCGGCCGCCGGCAAAGCCACGCAGCCACAAGGACGGCGGCGGCGGGGCTTCGTCTCTCCCTCCCGTCGGCGGTGGGGGCACCGACGTGGCCTGGGGCGCGAAGACGGCGGCGCCGGCCTGCCCGGCCGGCTGGCGAGGTGAAGAAGGCGGCAGGGTGGAGGAGGTGGCAGCAGGGTGAAGGAGGTGGCAGCGGGGTGAAGGAGGCGGCGGGGTGGCAGAGGATGCAGTGGCGGCGAGGGCGTTGGAGGCAAAGTTGGCGGCGGGGTAGAGGCCGCGACGGCGGGCTCGCCGGCGTGCGGCGACGCCGGATCTGGATCCCCTAGCGCCGGATCCGGCGCTCCCCCACCTGGATCTGGTCTCCCCTACGCTCCCCGCGCGGCGGAGGCGTCCGGCGACGGGGAAGGAGGAGCGGCCGGCTTCAGTGGCGACGGCGTAGGCGGCGCCCGGTGGTGCGGCGGCGGGCGAGGCCGACTACGCAGCCGACGGAGACGCGCAGAACCCGTTCGACGGCGGCGGCTTCGGCTGGCGCAGCACTGGCGGAGCGGCTCGGCCAGCGACGGCACAACCCGGCACGGCACGGTGGCAGCGGTGCGTGGCCGGCAGAGGCTGGCATGGTGGCGGCGGTGCACGGCAGGCGGAGGCCGGCACAGTGGCGCTGGTGGCGGCGGGGTTTGCTGGCTACTTGTGGCGGAGGGCGACGGCGCAGCGGCTTCTTTAGCGATGGCGGCGGTTTGCGGAGACGGCGGTTGGTGTCGGCGGCTGGTGACAGCGGCAGCGGTGACGGCGGCCGGCTTGCGGCGGTCGTGTCTGTGAGGTGGTGGCGAGGTCGCCGGATGCGGCAGCGGCTGGCGACGTCGTGCAGACGATCGCCGGCGACAGCTAGTGGAGGCGGGGAAGGAGTCGGGTGCGAGGTGTGGATGGCGACGGGCGTTCGGCAGCAGCGGCTGCGGTGGTGGTGACCGTGTCTGCGGTCACCGGAGGCATGATGGCTTCGGTTGGCTAGCCGAGGGCGTGGCAGACGGCTACTTCTGGCTGGCGCGGCATTGTTTGGAGGAGGGGTCGGAGACCGGCTTGGCACAGAGAGGCGCAGCCGATGGAAGCGGAGGCCGGCTCGGCGCGAGAGGTGCGGGCGGCGGAGAGGGAGGCCGGCGTGGCGCAAGAGGCGCGGCCGATGGAGGGAGGCCGGACTGGCGCGAGAGGCGCGTCTGGTGGACGAGGCCGGCTTGGCGCGAGAGGCGCGGCCGGCGGTGAAGGAGGCGACCTCGGTGTGAGGGAGAGCTACCGGTGGGTGTGGCGCGGTCTTCGGCACACGAAGGCTGGCCGACGGGGGGCGCCGGTGCTGGGGTCCCACATGTCGGCAGAGCTTGAATGGTGGTGGAGCATCGGGGCACCAGCCGTGGATTCGCAAGAGGGTGGTTGCCGGGCGAAAGCCCAGTCTTGGCTCCTATGAGCCCCGACGGACGGTGGCGGCGGTCTTTCCGTCGCTTCTCTTCTTGAAGACGTCGTTTTGGCATCCCCTAGGGGGCGATCTCGTCTGGGTTCTTTGTTGGTCTAGCGGCGGTCGGTCACGCTTAGTGGCGGCCGGTCTGGTGCTTGCCCTCTCCTGGGCTTGTGTGTTAGCGCTGTCGATGTGTGGGTGGTGGTATATTTTTTTCCTTTTTCCTGGTTATGACCCTCCAGGGTTGTAATCTTGTAATTTTTTTCTGCTCTATCAATAGAACTTCGCACCGTCTCGTGCGAGTCGTTCAAAAAAAAATTTCAATGACCAAACGGTCCAACTAGCATTCTGGACTATGACTTATCTTTGTTGCCCGAAGAAGTGATCACTTCAGTTCACGTATTGAACCGGCAGTGGTAATCCGAATGACGGTTAGAGTATGTATGATACACTACTTTTTTAACACAGCAGGTCTTTGTTGGTTCAAAGACCGGCAGTGATGCAGGTTATGAACCATCAATGATAGCCTTCTCTGCACTAGTGTCAACCCAATATCCCGGTTGTGCTACTGTTAAGAAATATCACTAAAGTGATTATTTTGACGGATGTATACAGTAAATGTGTTACCTTGCAAGTTCGGAGTAGTGTCGATCGAAAGCTCCTCGGAGGAGTTGCTGATATCCGCCCTCAGTGATGATGCTTGCAATGTCATCTAAGACAGAAACGGATTGGATGTTAATAAAACCAGTGCATGCCAATCTTTTGTCTGGTCCATCTTCAAGAGATGCTTGATTATTATCACTGCTACCGTTGGTGCTACCACTGCAGGTGAAGGAACTAGAGGAGCTCGACGACACCGTTGCTGAGATTGACTCATTAAAGGTAGATCTGACGGAGGACTCCCAGATGGGTCCTGGCAAGTAGCCCAGACGCCTTAGTGGACTAACCCTCCAGACTTTGAGGTAGCAAAACTCCGTGATAATGGAAGAGATGGTGGTGCCGTGGAGTGATCTTGCACGGTCACGGAGATGTCCAGTTTCGGTTAGGACAGGGTGCTCCAAGTTCAGTATTCGTGTAAGGTTCTTGGCGGCGACGAGGTATTTGTCCACCTTGTCTGGGTTACCAGAGGTGTCCATCTCTTGGCATCTTGGAATGACAATAGATTTCTCTATGTCATCAAGATTTAAGTCTAGCTTAACCTCCATATTGTGCTTCAATTCCAGCCAAGACACCGGTGGAGGGCATATGGAGGCGAAATGAACGTTCCCGTGGACGCGGTCTTCCTGGTCCTCGTACCGTTGCCTCCTGCGAGCTTGATGACTTCTTTTGATCCGGGCACTAATCTTTCGGTCATTTTCTGTCCTCTGTCTTGGTATCTCTGATTCCTTTGTATCCACCTCCATCCTTCATGTACGTACGCCGCAGTGTGCAGTTCATTTCAAGTGAGGAAAAAAATAGGTATATGGTTAGAAAACTGTATCGATATACGGCAGCGTTTGAAAATTTAACTTAAGCTATTTAAACCCACAATTTTTTTAAGAAAAACAAAACAGCTTCAAATTCATCTTCCTTTTTTGGATCTTGCTATTAGGGACAGAATTTGTAGAGAGGCTGGGGTATGGCTGCGTGGAGGCGGCAGAGAGGCCGGCTCCCGAGTCACCGATGGCGACTACGTGGAGGTGGCAGCGCGGAGGGCCGGAGTGGGCTGCATCGGCAGCTATGGATGGCCATCGCGACGGCATTGGGAGGTTGATGCGGGCAACGGCAAGTAGACGGCTCGGTCGACAGCGCAGGAGGCCAATGCGGCGACGACATGGCCAGGCCAACGCGGCGGTGGTTGGGAGGCTGGTGACGGCGGAGTGTGCCTCATTGCATGCCGAGGCTGACTAGGGGGGTGGGGGGTGGGTGGGGGCGTTGGTACAGCAGTGGCCGCGTGCCGACGGAGGTTGGCCGGTGGTGGAGGTTTGGAACTATGTCCACGGATCGGCAGGGGGTGGGCAACAGGTGTAAAAACTAGCTCGGTCTAGCCGAGCCGGCAGCGGTGGCGTCTTTGGACGTCGTTTTCCCTACTGTGGGCGCTGTCAAGCCGCCCCTCTCCATCGGGTGGATTTCCGGTGAAAGCCTTGTCTTGGTCCTTCGTGACATCGATGGATGACGGCGCTAGTGTTCATCGTCTCTTCTCTTCCTGGAGACATCGTCTTGGAGACCCCGCCAAAATCTCTCTCAGGCAGTTTGTGTGTGCTCGCTCTAGACATTTGTCCACTTGTGGTGACGCCCTAGTCTATGCATGTTGACCATGTTGGTGGGCCTTGTCGGGAAGAGTGGTTCCATCTTCTCTCTCACTCTCTCCTCTCCAATCCCATGGGCATGGATAGAGTCGAGTGTGATGCTCGATGTTAGGTTTGGTTTTGGGCGATTTGGCGGTAGCTCCTTTGTTGGTCTAGCGGCGGTTGGTCCAGTGCTAATCTTTTTCTGGGTTATGTAAAGGCGCTATCGGTGAGTGGTGTGTGGTGGTTGTGGTTTTTTTCTTTCCTGACTAGTGCCTTTTAGATACTAATCTTGTAATTTTTTTCTGGCTCTATTCAATAAAGTACTATCTGGTGTTGGTCCTTAAAATGAAAACAATATGCAGAGAGGATAATGATTTTTTTTTCTTGGAGAGAGGATAACGAATTTGAAGGTACCACTTCTGAATATTGATACTCCCTCCATCCTAAAATAAGTGTAGTTTTGCAATATTCATGGCCAACATTTGATCGTTCGTCTTATTTGATTTTTTAAAAGATTGGTATTTTTATTGTTATTAGATGATAAAACATGAATAGTACGTTATGTGTGACTATTTTTTTATTTTTTTCATAAATTTTTTAAATAAGACGAATGGTCAAATGTTGGACATGGATACCCACGGCTGTACTTATTTTGGGATGGATGTAGTACTGTTTACCACTTAGTACTTTGAATCCATGACTGTTTTGGGAAAAAAATTAAATAGTCTCCTTGCTTAAGAGCAGGTATAATAGCAGACTATTAGCCCGCTATAAACATATTTTAATGAGATAAACGATAAGAGAGAAGAGCAGCGGGCTACAGATCTTTGTAGCACGGACTCCAAAACGCAAGGTGTGTATGACAGGTTTAACCAGATATTAATAGTATAGTAAGCAACTATTATATAAATTGGCTATAGATGAAATGGAGCTAGTAGTGGGCTATACTATTAAACTTGCTCTAATAATTTGAAGAGTTGAAGACGTTGGTTCAACTCCCCCCTAATTAAGCATACGAAGACTCTAGTTGCAACTCTATAATGGTAGCAGGTAAAATTTACAAAGGGGAATACGTACCTATCGTGCAGCGGGCGATTGGGGGAAGAGGAAGAAGAACCATGCGTGAAGGACGAAGGAGTAGTTTCGTAAAACAGGCAGCCGCCGTGAGCGCGATCCGAACCTCCGTCCCCGAGCCACCTTTTGCGGCTGGGAAGAAGCATGTCCGCCGGGGTATCCACCGGCTTCTTCCCTCGGTCCCCTCCCATCGTCGTCGCGATGAGAGGGAAGGCGGCCTCGGTGATCCACCGCGCGAGATCAACAGATCGCTTCAACGCGGCGCCGCGCAAACGAGCCAACAGGTAGACATAGTCCTGATCAGTAAACCACCCCCAAAGTTTGATTGGTCGCTCGTTGAGCTAATTGCCAACCTCAACGTCATGCATGTCTGCCATTGGTCGCCTATCGAGAGTTGTCAACCGTACAGGCCTCACAAGTCTTTGTTGCTTGCAACTTTGACAGTAGAATTCTTCACTCTCGGAGTCACGGTCGACACCAGTGGCATCGACGATATATATCTTACTTTTCACAAACAGACAAACCAGCCTCAGGCCTCAGCGTAGCGTAACAATGGGCCCGTACAGGCGTCAGGCTAAACAATGGAGTGTTCAGTTCGTGCAAGTAAACAAGACGAATATTAGCTACAGGCGGGAACACCCGGCGGGACTTCGCCGCGGCGACCAGCAGGCGTCCCTGTGCCGTGGGCTCGTTCCTCTTCCTCGACGACCTCGACAGATCCCAGCCGGAAAGCCGACGCCAGGTAGTTCAGTTCTTCCCGGACCACACGCGGCGCCGGCTCGATGACAATACATTTTTTATTCACCAGAAAAAATACCTGTTGCAACCACGGCTAAATGTTATTTTAATCTTATTATAGAATAAAATTCACTTTGAAAATTCGCTTAGATTTTTTTTAAGAAAATCATGAGCTTCAATTAGAAGTCTGACTTTCATCTCAAGTTAACATTCGAGTTTTTTAAAGAGATTTTTATACGACTCCTTCTGTATTTCCAAAAGCGAACAAACTTAAAAATCGACTCAAATAAGGATATGCATTTTCAAAAGCTAACGAACTTAAAACCAACTTATACATAGATGACGTACCAAAATACTGGCAAAAACATCTTCAATTTCAAAAGCGAACGAACTTAAAAATAACTCAAATACGAATGACGTACCAAAATACCGACAAAAACATCTTTAATTTTTATAATAATAGAGATATGATCAGATTAGGAAAAGTAAATCTATCTATCTATCTATTATCTATCTTCTATTATTATATACTAAAAGTCCATTAAACTTCCTACAAACGCTCCTAATCCGCCACGTGGCACTCCTACAAACGCTCATATGCTGCCATGTGGCGCTCTAACAAAATAAAAAAATTGTTAGAAATTCTAAAAAAAAGATTTAGTTAGATCTATCTTCGAAAAAAGTAGTCCGAAACCTTCCTCTCTGTTCGGTGTGCGCACGCATGTTAGCCATCCCTCCCTCCCTTCTGTTGTTTTTTTCTCTCTCCTATGGTAGTTAAGTTAGTTAAGGTAAAAGACATCCAATGTTTTTATGGCCATGCATGCATATTAATTTATTGGTTTCGGTAGTTCTATAAATAGATAAACAATCTTTTAAATAGTTGTAACTTTTAAATTATATTTCAATTTATGACCTATTTGTACCATTGTATTTTTTAATTAAATCAATAATTAAGATCCAAATAGACTATGATGTAACGCTACAAAATTATTACTGCTGAACTCACATTCATCTTGAGGCCTCTAAGAAAATAAAATCAAAATATGCCACCCTAATTTTTTACTCATACACTGTTAGATATCTAACAACTTTGTGTAGACTTAAGTAACTTCTGTCAACATCTACATGAATTGGTCGATAAATAAGATGATCGATCATAGCATCTAACTTATAGATATGATCTAATAAATTAAGAAATTCGACCATCAAATTTCATTAAATCAGTGGACCCATTGTTTTAGCCTGTTAGACCTATTTTATCAAAACAAAAAGAACACATTCAGATCAATTTTTATCTAAGTCGGTGGACCCATTAATTGCTTTATATCATTAGATCTCTGTAAAATAACCACATCCGGAACCTCCACGTCCAGTGCGAACATACGTACGTAAATCAAAATTATCTTTACAGGTTAAAAGAACACACAATAGACCTCCACGTACTAGGTCTAGCGGCTCTCAAACTGTCACTTAGAATATCCTACGGTGCTATTAAATTAGAGAAAATACTATTAAATTAGGGAAAATAATAGAAAAACAGACAAAGAAAAGAAAGCATCTGAATATAGGTTTCTATTTAAATTAATGGGTACATTGTTTCTGGTTGCAGAATTTTTTCATAAAAAACATCTCAAACCTCTCTCCTCCCTACCCTCCCTGTGCAGTGTTAATGCCCATTAACATCGCATAAACGCTTCTAAGCCATTAAACGACATTCTTAAATTAGAGAAAATCATAGAAATTTTGAAAAAAGGACACATCTAACCATTGGTTTTGACTTAAATCGTTGGACACATTATTTTGAATCGATTGACACACTATTTTTGGTCATTGGATCTATTTTTATAAAAGAAACACCCCAAACATCCTTCCCTCCCTCCCGCTCCTTTGCGGCATGCGGTGCTAAAAGTCCATTATACATCTTATAAACACTCTTTAAGCTGTTACATTGCTCTTTTAAGTGAGACAGTATCCTCCAAATTCTGACAAGAAAAGAAAACTTCCAACCATCGATTTCGACTTAAACATATGACAAATCATTTAGGTCGTTAGATTAATCATTTAGAAAAACATGCCAAACCTTCCTCCCTCCCTGCCCGTGTGTGGCATGCACCATTCCTTTACTCTCTGTTTTTTTATCTCCCTGACAATTAAAATTGAAATTATCTATATGTCAAAGAAAAACCACAAATGGATCTCCACCTATTACTTATATCCTGTTAGACATCTAACGACTTTCTACCAACTTAATTAATTTCTCTTAACATTGTCCATGTTTTTCTTTTTGGTAAAACTTGCTATAGTACATTGTAAATTCTTGACATTTAACGTAGAACAATCTAGAAATTTCTATTTGTTATAAGAGACTTCAGTTTAGTGAGAATTCACTAAAAATACTATGAATCTATGATCATTACTTCAATACACGAGAGAAAATTTAAACATATGCCTTTACCCTGTGCAAGGTTATATGCACTTCTATTTTCATCCCAATTTGCAAGATCAAAGCTTGATGATTCATAAAACATAAATCTCAAAAAAAAATGGACATGAAATAAATTGAAAAAATGTTGTTGGATTTAAAACTCATTCTAAATAGAAAAATTCAAACATTTTAGGAGGATTGTTAGAATGAAAATAGATATAAAAATTAACTACAGTAATAAATGACATTATTGGACTATTTTGGAGGGTGTGGGCGGGAGGGGGTGCAAGATATCTTTCAGGGCAGTCAAAATATATAAAAAAATTTCTCATGGGAACCACATACATTGTTTCGACACAACTGCACGATCTCAAGTAATTTTATTTTAGAATTTATATGTAGCGATGGTGCCAACGTTCAAAGCAAAATAAGTAAATTTAATTTAGTTTAGAATATAATAAAAGCATTATTATTAAAAGTCACCCATACATAAATATTCATAAGAAAATTTCACCACATTAAGTAAGGTGCCCGCGCATGTGCGCGGGCTACCTTCCTAGTTTGACTAAAGGCTAAAGGGAAAAATATGGTCCATAATTAATGGATGCGACTACACAGCGCGTGGTCGCGCGATAGTCTAAATGAGCGACCCATTTCTTTCCGTAATTAGTATCGTTCGGCCGCGCATCTCTTTCTAAAAATAACACACCGCTGTCTAGCGCGTCTTTCGGATAAGAAACAACATGTGTTTACGTTCTTCCCATTGAGTCAACTTGCGGCCCAAAACAAATCCAACGACTCCTTTGCTTGGGCCCGCCTGTAGGTCTAAAATAATCCCCAATCTATCAATCTCGGTGGATATGGTGCCCCCAATCTATCCATCCCGCGCGCTTCGCATCGCCGTCGTGACCGGAGAGGCGCCAGGCCGTCGGGCTCGCCGCGAGTGGGGAGGGCACCGGGCGGCCACCGCACAAGGCGCCCGCGCTTGCCTCGCCCGCGTCCAGCCATCGCCGCGGGCCAGCTAGGAGGCTCGCCGCCGCCGTGACCGGAGGGGACTGGGCGACCGCCGCGCGAGGCCGGGGCCGAGGCCCTGCCATGCGTCGACGTCGTTGTCATACATGGTCATCAACCGAGTGAGGCATCTCTGGCCATCGACGGGGAGGTTGAAGTCGAAGCCGCTGATGAGAATGCTAGGTCCCGATCTTCCGATAGATATTGATAACTCTTGATTTGATGGAAACTTGACACACACGATCCGGCTTCCGATCAACATGATCCGAACCCAGCAATCGTAGCAGCACGTCTCCTCTGGTTATCAACCGTGCACTGCCCGGTTGACCTCGCCGAGAAGGCTAATCCCTGCATGCGAATCGAAGAACACAAGCAAGAACAAGATATATTGCAACACAGTTGCATATGAATGATTAAACACTCGAATTTGGGGTTCTACAAACCGATCTAGCGGCGAAATTGCAATGGCAAAAATAATATAAGCAAAACCCGACTCAAAACAATGACGACTATTGAATAAATATGACTAGGGTCTAGGGACGTCATAGGGTTTCCCTAGGATGTACACCCCCTTGGTTGACCTTGGAAGATTAGATAGAGAGGCCATTGTTGTTGCGAAGAAGATGATTGTGATCCGATAATAATGTGCCATATGTAAAGCTTAATCTATTTTCTGTGGTTTGGCGCCTTAATTTTTATTTGGTGCCTTCTATTTAGCGCTTTTGTTTCCTTGGAGGTCCACGCTAATTAGAGTAATCGCTAACTATGTAATTTGGTGACAGACGGAGAGAATAATCTTGTAAGTTGTAATCTCCGTTTATAGTGGGGCCCCACAAAAAAGAATCGACAAACCGATGGTCTCTACGTAACACGGAAGGAAACACAACAACGAAACAGTGAAGCCGCAGCCTTGGAGACAAGCTGAGATTCTTTTGAGACTTTTTTTTTTGGAACTTTCGAGACAACTAATTGTACTGTAATTATTGTATCGTATAATTTTAGTGAAACAATATGTTGGTGAATATAAGATTTTTGAGGAATCTTAAGATTCTAAGAAGCAATTGGTTGATAACCAGCTTATAAAAATTTAAAGATATTTTTTAGTTTTTAGTCTAACTACATTTTCTCAGTTGTCACGATGTGAACGAAAATCTGGGTTATTTGGAAGAGGTTGTGATTAAAGAACTGCAACAAACTCCCCACACAGCTAGCAGTTCCGACTTCCGATACTGAAGTCACCGTCGACCCTTCACTGGTTGACCAAAGTCATGGATGGAGCAAAGCAACAAGCGCACGCCATTATTCCTTTTCAGTACAGGACTACAGGTCTCAACGTGACAGTACACATCCGACCAGCCGCACGCATGCACGGATCGGATGCTGCTACGTACGGTCCGCCCAAGTGCGCACTAGAAGGTGAACTTGAACACCATGTTGTGCTCGTACACCTGCCCCGGCCGGACGATCTGCGACGGGAAGCTCGGGTGGTTCACGGCGTCGGGGAACCCCTGCGTCTCCAAGCACAGCGCGCCGTACCGGCCGTACACCCTCCCGCCCTTGCCGCGCACGCCGGCGAGCCCGTTGCTCGTGTAGAACTGCACCCCCGGCTGGTCCGCCCACACCTCCATCGCCCGCCCCGTCGCGCCGTCGCGGACCTCCGCCACCGGCCGGAGCCGCCGCCGCTCGCCGTCGGCTGCGGCGCCGTCCACGGCGTAATTGGTGTCGTACCCGGAGACGGCGCCGCCGGGAACGGCGGCGCCGACGATGCGCGCGCCCACCGGGGCGCCGGCGAGGAAGTCGTAGGGCGTGCCGGCCACGGGCGCGACCCGCCCCGTCGGGATGAGCGTCGCGGCGTCCACGGGCGTGTACCGCGACGCGTGGATCCGCACCGTCTCGGCGAGGACGCTGGCGGCGCCGCTGCCCTCGCCGGCGAGGTTCCAGTAGGCGTGGTGGGCGAGGTTCACCGGCGTGGCCTTGCCCCGCGCCGTCGCGTTCATGCGCACGGCCAGCACGTAGGGGCGGGGCAGCTCGTACGTCACGAACACGTCCAGGTCGCCCGGAAAACCTGGTTAACCAAAAAAGATACTAAAAAAGGGAGACGATGTTGGATAACATTTCATAGCAGCAGTTCATCGCAATCTTGGACAAATTTCAGCATATGCTTTTGGGTTTATAGATTAATTCTCTCGCATTCGTACTGCTATGGTTCGAGTTAAAATGTGCAGAATGTTTGATGACATTGTGCTCTACACTGCTAGTACTAATATTTCAAGATTTTTGTCGATAGAGCACTTGATAGGTTCTCTCAATAAAAATGAGTTGCATGCATATGCACTATATGCAAATTGCAGTAGTGCTCTGCTGCTTTTTTGCCTTCCCTTTTCTTTTTTATCCTCCTGAAATGTTTGCCATAATGTCTTTAGTAGTATAGTGTGCGCATGAGGCTCGCTGTGCTGCAACACATCGTGGAAGTACAGCAAGCTTTTCCATGATGAGAAAGGATGAGAAGAGCACATTGCATATGCAGGAAAAACGCCCACTTCCCCCTCAAAATGTGAATATATATGTGATAGAAGTGGACCGCAGGATGCCGTTGGAAGTGCTTGCTACTTTGCTAGTGCCAAAGTTAAATATGCATCCAGTTTGCTCAGGTGTTTCTTAAAGCAAAAAATGTTATCGCAGGAAGAAACAGAACATAATATATGCAATTCATCATTAGCCAATTAGGCTAGCACGAGATCATCGATCAGTTACTACCTTGCTCCCCGTCGAAGCTGTGGTAGTACAGCGTGATGCGCGGCGAGTCGCCGCCGGCGACGTGCTCCTTCACCGTCCATATGACCTTGCTGAATCCACGGTGACCACCTAAGCAAAGCAAGAGCAAGAGCAAAGACGATGAAGCATGAACAATGAGTTAGTGACAGCTAGACTGACAGATCACTGAAAGAGTTTAGCCAGCCGGCGATCCGGCACAGGGGATGAGATCACACTGTACACATGCGGCCTGTGTTACCGTGGAGCGAGTTGTTGCCGTCGTTGCGGAACAGCCGGTAGGTCTTCCCGTCCAGCGTGAACCGCGCGTTGGCGATCCTGTTGGCTACGCGGCCGATCAGTCCTCCGAAGTAGGCCGTCCCGTTCTGAATTAATGTGCACGCCACATTCATTCACAAGCCAACTTTGATTCAGAAAAGAAAATTTATTTGGGCCACTTAATTTGAGAGTGAACAATTTGTTTGAGATCTGTTTATCTATATATACTGTAGTAATACATCACTGATCAGCAAGAAGGGAAGAGGATGAAGAAACAGAGGGGATTATGTATGATCTTACAACGTATTCAGCAACTGTATCGTAGCCAAGGACTACATCAGCCAAATTCCCTACAGGGAAAAGAAAACCAAAACGTATGAATTCACAAATGCTCTGAAGGTACAAAAAACAAGGATTATGCACCACAAAACGTATGAAGTCGCAATGTGCTAAATAAAAGCACCTATAAAAACAAAGAGGATATGCACCACAATTCCACAAACTCAACTGCAAAATTCAGAAGAACCATATACCTTTGGAGTCGGGAAGAATCACAGACATGATAGTAGCTCCCCAGTTGGTGACCCTGATGGAGAAATCCCCCTTCTTCAGCTCATACACCCCAACCATCTTCCTCCCCGCCGTTGCATTGGCATTGGCTCTGCCGGACAAGCCGAGGGCCACAAGGCACAAGAAGGCAAGAACAGTCAGTGTAAGCACAGCTCTTGCCATGTTGACAACAAAGCCTAGCTTCTTCTCGCTATGCAGCCTGCACAGTGGCCACCTGCTGCTTTATATGCAGATGCAAAGGCAATGGTGATGTCTAGTGGATTTAAAGCGATCTCCATCTTGGTTTGTGTGAGACCTTCCGTTCTCGAGGTTTTCAGTGAGAGGATACGGTGGTCCAGCGCCTCATGCTGTGCCGCATTTTCGCCGTCTGCTTTGCTTCCATCTCCTGTGCATAATCAGCTAAAATGGCTGCACTTTTGCCTGATCTGCTGTAGTGCTTTGCGCTGTTGCGCATCTGTGTAGTTGTGTCGTGAAGATTTCTGGCTACGGCTTGTGCACTTATTGCTACCAACCAACACCTGTTGCTAGTTGCTACTACTACGTGCAACAGAGTTGGATGCTGCATTGCTGCAATTGCAATGTATGGGCGTAGTTGTTTCAACATTACAACGCAATTCGGCTGTGCAAAAATAGTGATTCGACGAACATTATATTGCAACTCTGATCAGCGACAAAGCCACCGTCGTAGAGAAGCATAGGGAAAGCTATTTAAGCTCTCAAGGGCATGCAAACTACCCTACGTCCCACTCATTTATTACGGGTGTGTTTGGTTACCGGCCATACTGTACTACAACTAACGTTAGGTAAGTTGTGACAGCCACAAAAGTGTGGTGGACAAATTGCTAGCCACAAAGTGTGGTAAAGTTGACAAAAAAAATTGAGCCTATAACATATAGAACATGCTATTAAAAAAGTGTGGCAAGCCACAACTGTGGCAGTGAACCAAACACATGTCTAACAAACTGTGGCAGCCAAAAGTGTGGTGTGACAAAGTGTGGCCATGAACCAAACACCCCCTACATGTCAATCAAATTATTATATTTAAAATAACTGATAAAAAAGATTAATATGTAATAGATCACTCTACAAACATACGAGTTCAAATTTAACTTCTACAAATTATAACAAAATTAACAAATTAAACTTTTACTTGTATGCTTATATTCACAACCAAATTTGTAGTTGTAACAAAAATAGCAAATTAAACTCTATATATTCACAGATAAATTTGTTTTTTACAACTTGTAAAATTCGTATGTTTGCAGAGTGATATATTATGTATTAATCTATCTTATTATTATTTTGAAAAAAAATCATAATCATTTAGTTAATATGTGGTAATAAACGAGTGGACATATATCCACACGAGTGATTAAAAGAGTTTCTCATTTTCACCGTGCGGTTAGATCAAATGTAGCTTTGTATGTTTATATAAGGATATGTAATACAACAACATGTGTTGTCTAATTGTTTAAGAATTTTTCACAACTATTCAGGCAGCGTTTAAGAAACGATAACACATTTAGGGCTTGTTTGGTCCGTGACAAATTTACCCAAGCCAAAAAATGGTAATGTCAATATATTTGTCATGCATTTGGCGTTTGTAGCTTAAAAAAAAGCATGCTAAATTATTTGGTTTAGTTGAATTGGGCCAAAATAAAACTTTGGTAGCAAACCGAACAAAATGCCAGCCAATTTTTGCCAAAATATTTGGCAGTGATCAATTTTTGTCATTGGCAAAATGGTGGCAAGGTTGGCAAGGTCAGAAATGTCAAAGAACCAAATATTCGTCTTGAATTTCTGAGAATCATCGACTAGATGATTCTGCATATTGTAGCAGAAAGAAATGTCTGATTATTACATATACATTTCATTCACAAGAACCGCAGCTTAATGCCTTTTCCACCCGAAAAACCCCCTGACAAGTTCATGTCGACGTCGAAACTTATGAAATCCCCTGACAAGTTCATGTCTACTACATTTTATTCACAACGAACTCAAAACATTTGAAATCCCCTGACAAGTTCATGCCCTGAGACTTGAATCTTGACACGATAATAACATCAAAACAATCTATGAAGTTTCGTACCAACCTAACATCTATATGAGCTATAGAATCTCTTTCTTTTTTTCTCTTCGTTTTTTTTCCTCCGTTTTTTGAGATGCAGAAACTGACACTGATTTTCTCACACGAGCGCTGCTGCTTCAGAGCTCGTCGACGTCGACGTTCCTGAAGCTCCCGCCGAGCAACGACAGGAGGCCGCCACCGTGCACCCTCCCCTCGGGGACGACGAACCCTCCTCCCTCTCTGCCCCTGCCCATCGACGGCGGCGGCGCCGACGAGCACGACGACTTCATGGAGTTCGGGACCAGCACCTGAGGAGGTATCAGCTCTTGCCTCCTCGCCGCGCCGTCGCAGGCGTCGGAGTACTCCGACGCCGTGCTGACGCCGGAGGACGAGTAGCCGTTGTTCATGGCGCCGACGAGGCCGTGGAAGAGCCCTGGACCGATCATGCTCCCGCCGCCGCCGGCGCGACGCTGCTGTGAGGCCATGAGCGTGCCGTGCGCGGCGCAGAGGCCGCTCCGCCCGCGGGCGAACTTCTCGCAGCCGGTGGCCCAGGTGCAGCGCTTGCCGCCGCCGTGGGCCTTGCAGAACTCCGTGCTCCCCTGCGCGCTCTTGGCGCAGCCGTCGACCCTGCACCGCTTGCCGCCGCCGTGCTTGACGCAGCAGTCCGTGCGGCCGCGGGCGCTCTTGCCGCACCCGGGCACCGTGCACCGCTTCCCGCCGCCGTGCGCCACGCAGAAGCTGGTGCCGCCGTGGACGCTCTTGGGGCAGAGCCCGCCGCCCTCGAACATGCACCGCTTCCCGCCGCCGTGCGCCTTGCACAGCGGCGTGCTCCCCTCCGCGCCCTTGAGGCACCCGTCGAACACGCACCGCTTGCCGCCGCCGTGCGCCTTGCAGTACAGCGTGCTCCCCTGCGCGCCCTTTCGGCAGTCCGGGTACTGGCACCGCCGCCCGCCGCCGTGGGAGATGCAGAGCCCGACCCTCCCCTCCGCGCTCCGGATGCAGCCCTCGACCGAACACCTCTTCCCTCCGCCATGCTTGATGCACCGCCCGGACTTCCCCCGCGCGGCCTTCGGGCAGCCCTGGTGCCCGCACCGGCGGCCGCCGCCGTGGGCGATGCAGTGATCCGTCTTCCCCTCGGCGCTCTTGGTGCAGCCGAGCTGCATGCACCGGCGGCCACCGCCATGCGCCTTGCAGTAGGCCGTGCGGCTCTCGGCGCCCTTGTGGCACCCGGGCTTCTGGCACCTCTGCCCGCCGCCATGGGCGATGCACAGCCCCGACGCGCCTCGCGCTCCTTTGGAGCACCCCTTGAACCTGCACTTCTTCGGATGCCGGCGTTGCGACTGCGCCGCCGCCGCCGCCGGCTGCGTCGTCACAGGATTGGTCACCGTCGTGACCACGTCGGAGCTCACACCGAACGAGGTCTCCGTCATGGTCGCCGAAGGCTCAGGCTCAGGCTCAGGGCTGAGCTGACGAACGACGCGACGCCGCGCATGGCCATGGCGCGCGCCACCACCACTCACGGTGTTGTCCGTGTGATCCGCCACGACATCATGACGAGCCTCTTCAGGAGCCGACGCGTTGGGCCGAGGCGCGAAGAGCAGCGACGGCATGTACCCACCGGAGCTCCTCCTCGCCGACGTCGAGCCCTCATCGACGGCGGCGGCGAAGGAGATGATGTTCCCAGCAGGCGCTTCTTCCAGATGCTGAATCGTCGCGCCACCATGATCTCCCCGATGAAGCCCAAGGCTGAGCACCCCTGGCTCAGTGAAGGAGAAGCTCCTCTGGCTGAACAATGTCGCCGGCGCCGGCGCTTTCGACCTGCGCGCCGCGGAGGAGCCCATCTCCGGCGATGGACCCAATCCAAGAACCAACCCGCAGCCGTCATCTTGCGCAGACACACCATGACCCGACCTCCGGTTGTTACCTCTCTTGCCATGGATACTACTGTTCTCCATTGATGAACCCAGGTGGTCTAGGCAAGAAGAGCTCCGTCCATGGCTGTCCATGGTGTAGCTTGCCACAGAGTGTCCCATTATCACAACTGCGGAATTATCCATCAGATGCGGGTTTCCGCGGCGAATGATTTCCGGAAAACCGTTATTCATCTAGGCTAAGTAATCCTGCAATGTACAGAAGGTGGAAGAAACAACGAGACAAAGATAGATCAGGTGCTTCTTGATCTTGTTCTATATGTGCACTGGAGAGTAGACGAAGTGGAAGAAAATCAGCAGCAGCGAAGTACCGATGAGTCCACCACTGACAAAACCCGATGTGTCCGCCCTGTCCATGAACTTACTGTCTGGATTTCAGGAAAATTTTGATCCAGACTGTACTTCAACTCTGACGGGCTAGACCATCTGAGATAGTGATGTTAATTCTCTGGTAGTTGAGCATCAAGAAGCAGCAGGTTGTAGCCAGATAATTTCTGTCTGATGGAAAAAATTTACCAGACTGAAAAGTCCTGCAATAGGATGGAAATGGTAAGTCAGCTCAAGATCATGCCACAAACGACTGTAGGATTGGTAGTATCATCAAATGCATAATTAGAAAAGGACAGTCTAGACTTCTTTGCACAGGGATCTTCAGGAAGAACAAACAATCAAGTCTTGGGAATGACTTTGAATTGCTGAAACTGAAGACTTTTAGGAGCTACAGGTTTTTTGTGCTTCTAATTTCATTTTCTGTAACAGTGCTCGTACAATCTCTGTTTCTCTGACTGATTACATGGTTCCACTAAAATTTTAATTGCTGTCTTCCCAACAGGAGTTCAAGATCAAGCTTAATTGCAGTGAGGAAGTCAGCTAGTCCTGACCATTAATTCATTGATCACAACAGCTACAACACACCACGAAACTATCATCGAAGGAAATTTTATCTCGGTAGAATGACTAATGTTTCGGTAGAGTGAATGTTTACAAGAAATACATTTTAATATTTTGCACGTTATAAAATTTTAAATTTTGTTTTCGTAGGCAAACTAGTTATTCCATTTATCAAGAGGGGAGTTAAACAGAATTAGTCAGATACAGGAATTCAAGCTAAACCCAAGGTCTCACCTAATAAATAATCACGAAATGTTTATTAGACCAAATTTTAGTTTGAACTCATAATTACATATACCTTCTAAATATTTAAGAAATATAAAGGCGTGTCCAGTACATAATAAAAGTCAAAACTTCCGCACATCCACATATCAACAGAGTCCCCCCATCATTTTTTCTTGACAAAAATGGGTTGGCTAGCAACTTGACTGAAATTTTTAGCAATTCTAATTAGAACCCCAGCACGTCATGCTAACTATGTTGACAATTAAGCAGATGAACTGAATCACATAAATCTCATGCTGCATAACTAAGAACGGATCAGTGCAATTAATCGCCACTTTCTCATAGAATTACTGCTTAATTTAGCATGTTCATGTCGTACCTAACAGAGCAAACATGCCAGATCGTTTCTTCACCGTACAAACCGCATATTCAGCTTAATAGCCATGAACATACACATATTTTTTTAGGACAATTGGAATCTCTGATTCAGTTGACTAGACGATCGGTAACCGACGAAAAGAGAACATCACAAGCATGAGATGCTACCTGTGCATGTGATGTTCTATTGGATTCAAAACAAGATTCATACGTATGACCAAGCGAACAGCTAACTAAACAACCCTGACCACAAACATAGGTGTCACCTTGAGCCTTGGCTTGCATGAGACAAGCTGAATAGCTTGGTGGTATTCTAGTAGGACCCATGGCTGTGAAAACCATTTCAGATTTACGTGGGAAAAATACCTGAAACTACCTAAACCGCAGCAACTCCGATACAAATCCGTACCATACTAAGAGAGTATATTCATGTCCTGGACTAAAAGAATTAACTACGTTTATAGGGTGTGGCTGTTTGCTAAGGTGTTCTATGAGGAACAAATCAAGCGAAATTCTTCCGTTTTTTATATGGAAAACTGTTTCAGTTTATGCAGCAAGCTTCAAGGTGGAAGAGAAAATAATCACATATATGAGCTTCCCTACAACTTTGTCCAATATCTGTCACAATTTGTAAACAGTACCTCGATATCTGGTTTTGAAGAGAAAAGCTAAATCTAAAGAGAAAATATCAGCAAATTCGCTCACACTTCCTACCGCACAAGCTTCGAGAAACCCAGCAAAACAAACAAAAAATCTTGTGAATTCCCACAAACCAACCAAACAAACAAAGCAGGGCACACGCGACAGATCTAACTAAAACCGCGCAAACAATTCCCTAACCGAAGCCCATCCATGGACATCAACCTGAAGAGAGAGACTCGAATCGCTACAGGGAAATCAAGAACTCACCCGCAGAAGAAATTTTTTTAAAAAAAATAACTAACACACATGCAGGCCTAACCGAATATTCTTGCGACTCTACTACCCATACATACCAGGAAGCAGACATAGATCGATCAGAGCAAAGGTAGAAACAACCAAAAGATTAATTTCGCCCAGGGAATTGAAGAAGAGGGCGTGGATTTGGGAGGAGAGGAAAAAACCAGAGGGAATCACCTATAGCTAGTAGAATCTCGGAATCTCAAACGGAGGAGACGAGACGAGACGAAACGACTCCGGTGGCTGGCTGAGAGAGAGAGAGAGAGAGAGAGAGAGATTTGATTAGAGTGAGAAGAGAGCGTATTTATGGCCGTCAAGCTGATGGTGGCGTCTTCCGGTGGCTCGGCTCGTTGGCGGCTCGCTGCCGCGCCGACGTCAAGATGACGCGGCTGCTGCCGCTGCGCGCACGAGCACTGTATCGGCTCGGCTCAAGCCGACGAGAGCCGCGGCGTGTGTGGTGCAGGTTTGGTTTTCCTCTCGCTCTCGTTTGGTTGTGTGGTGGTCTACATTTTCGGATGGTGGACTTTTCTTCCTCTGCTGCGAGTGGTCACCTTGGTTACTTTTGTTCAACCGTGACAGCATTATTTCCGAACGGAATTTCGATGGTGATGTTTTCAGCACCTCGCTGTTGTCACAAATTTGCAGAGTAAAAAAAGGATTAGTCTTACTTTCTATATCATCTATCGACGATGTAAATATGGTATATATAGAAAGAATCGTGTGGGTCAAGAGGTTTGTGGTATGAAACTTACGTGTTTACGTAAAAGAAAAAGGACAAAAAAAAAAAGTGGTTCCGCGAGGAAAGTATTACTGCTATTTGGTTGCTTGAGATATCAATTCTTCATGACAACAATGGAGTATTGCACCAACTCGAAAGAGTTCGATCGCCATGTCTCTTAGAGCTTTAAAACAACAGTTATTCGAGACACGGCTCCTGTCAAACAAATGTGCTGAATGTGTTAGGAGGACAAATACTAGTATGATCTTATTTTTTTTTCCTTCTACATACCACATATCAAAGCAAGTACAATAATGGGCTAATAGCTTGCGTGCATAAGATTTTAACATATTTGGCGGAGAGATAAAAGCTGAGAGAGAAAAGCGAACGACTAAATTGTCGCCGGCTCAAGCGCCGATGCCTAGATACTTTTTCTGACACAGCCTTGTGCAAGTGAGGAGGCAGCCGTGAAAAGTCAATAGAAAAATAGAACATGAACTTACTCTCTCTATTCTTAAAAAAAAAGACAACCTAGTACTATGACAACGAATCTAGATATAGAGTATATAGATTTGTTGTACTATGATGTGTCACATCCTAATACTAGTTTGCTTTTTTTTTAGGACAGAGTAAAACACAGCCAAGGTCATAAAATGAATGCATTAGGTAAAGCAAGACTATAGCCAGTTACTGTATTTAGTGTGATTTAGTACTATTAGATGATGTGGTAGATTTTAGAACTAACAGTTGATGGTACTATTAAACTTGCTCTCAATGGTACATGTTTGAATAAACAGCCAAAGGAAGATAAACGGCACAAGCTATGCAGGGCAAATTCAGGTGAGAATGCTGGGAAAAAGAACCCCACATGAGGTATCTGGACCTCAGGCACAGGCAGTCACTCGTTCTTGCCGTCTCTTTCAGCAAAAAGTAGATCGGGGCCACGGCGAAAAGTCCTCTGCAGCGACGCGACGATGCGCGATTGGCCGTGCCATTACGTGCACAGGCTGCATCTCCCAGGGCCTCTCATTGGGTTTTGGATCTTTTCTACAACAGACCAAGGAGAGAGAAGCCGATCGATCAGTGAATTGGTCCGGTTGGTAGCCCGGATTCTTGCTTGAGTAGTGGACCATCCCCAATTATTGTTGCCCGGTGTGTGTGACCACTTGCATTTATATTGTTGGTGTTTAGATGTGTTCGAGTCCCTTCGTTGCAAAATATAAGGAATTTTAGTTAGATGGGATACATCCTGTTGTGAAACAAATCTTTAGGAGATAAGTTTCTTGTGGGTCAATCTGAACCGGAGTAGAGATAAGGTCTATCTCCTCCTAAGACCCCTATATATATAGGAGCAGGGTGTGACATCTATGGCTAATGGCTAACTTGTATTACAGATGAGATCTATAATGAAGAGAGAGAGCTCTACCCTATATTTGTGTTCATTGTCTACTTCTGCAATTGAGGGCAAAGGGAAGGGTGCGGGTGTTCTACATCATCTCACGCCTCTACTGCTGTGGGAGGGACAGGGAACGGATCCGGTGATCCGCTAATAGGCGCGTTGGTTTACAACACATCCTAATTCTACGAATCTAGATGGATGTGTCCCATCCAACCAAAACTCATTATATTTTGGGACGAAAGGAGTAGGAGTTATACTACTACTATTGTGTTATGTTATGTGACTGCTACTAATTTTATGTATACACCCCCGCAAAAGAAAATTTTATGTATTCACATTTGGACCATTGCATGCTTATTATAGTTGAATGTTGATTTTAAATGGGATGTGAATTGCAGTTGGCTTGGATCAATCTGCTATATATGATATGTGAATGAGCTAGGTTGGTGGATGCATCATGGATGTGAATTTTAGTACATGCATGATTTGGATTCACTAGGTTGCTGGATGGTATGTGATCATATATATTCTTCCATGACCACGACATCTAGCGAAATTTGTTAACTAGTGGGTTAAATTTTAAAGTTATTTTAATGACAACAAATCTATCCAATCGTATCAAAGGCAAAGTCCAACTAAACAACGAGAACATTGGCCTTTGTGATTTCCCATAATGTTCCCTTTCCTCAGTGCTTTTAATAGTTTATTTGTATTAGCTAGGGTAGCCATTTGTTTTAAGAGAGTCGAGTACGAGGGACTAGATTGTCCTCTCTTAAAATAGAGAAGAGAAGGAAAGTATCGTGTGCAAACCCTGTTAATAAGACTAGCCATCAACCCATATGTTACATGGATTATTAATATTGATATTATAAATATTAAAGTCTAATCATATGCTAGATATATCGGTTAGTCCTCGAACTATAGAATCTTAGATATAAAGAAGAGTACACACTAGATACAACTTTCTATAGTTAATTTTAAGTTTAAATAAATGAAAATACTGTTTTTGAGACCAAGATAGTTACAACTTCATATTTATTACTAGCTCCCAAAATAACTTCAATTTTCATTTAGCACACATACACCAATACAAAAGCACAAATAATACAATATCCTACACTTTATTAAATTCCACTACAGATTTCCCCACTTTATCTTTTCTATATCTCTCACTTTCATATACTCCAGTGCGATGATTGCTGAAACATTAAGTTACTTTGGGATAATAAGATGCTGCAAAATGAAATTATCTTGCGAAGGAGGAGTATTTCTAAATTTCACAATTACTAAATCTTGGAAAAGCTAAAACTAAAGTCTATGGTATTTCCAATTGTAGGTTTAATCTAATATGAAATATTGTTATAATCTATGGTCACGATAATACGATCTACGTAAGTAGCAAATATATTTTTTTTCTAGTTAACACGGAGCTTCCTTAGAATGGCCAATTAGTATAGTTATATATATATATATATATATATATATATATATATATATATATATATATATATATATTCTTTTGCAAGGTTACAAATAAGAACTTAAAGCTTTGTTTAGTAATATGGTGAATTATGATAATATTTTTTAGTGTGACATTTCTATTTCTTTTTTCCTAATCATAGTTTGATTCCTCAAAGCCAAAATTTTATCATTCATGTGTTTCCAAAGCAATTTAAAGTGACTAAGTGAGAATAGCTCAACTATTTATGTTCTTTTTAGTGAAACATGTTCACTTGGTTTAAGTTCTAAACTTGATACGGGTGTTTGGATATACGTCTAACTATTATTTTAGTGATAAGCATCTATAATGACTTTATCAATATCAACATATACTGATGGTGCTCATAGAAGTATGGTGTATATGCGTGCACGTTTGTAGGGATAATTATGTGTTCAGAGCGTATCCGTTTGTACTGTGCGTGTTTTGAAAAAAGAACTGCTAAGGTGAGTTGAGCATAATAATCCCAAATTTGTATTGGATGATTGCAGGAAGATAAAATATCCATCCAAACTAAATAAAAAGGAGCATAATAGATTCTCTTCATGCCATGATCCCTTAGGACCCTTACAAAAGCTACTTTTCCTAGGATTAACTCCATTTATGTCCAAACATGCACCGTTTCTCTCAAAGATGTCTAAGACATTTCAACACAAAAATTTGTTTATGCTTCCATCCCATTTATATATCGAATAGAATCCTGATTGGTGACTACTGACATAGTGTCGCCCACTGCCCCCCATAATTTCTCCCAAATCATGGTGGTGCCGCAAATAATTGCCTTGCGTCGCTTCTTCTTTCCACTGATGGATTGATGTGCTCCTGGCAAGATGAGCCGCGGCTCATCGGCTGTACGGCTCGGCTCAGTGTGGGGGAGCGGCTCGGCTCGGCTCCGGCCCCACCGGCTCTGGACGTGCCGTTCACGCGCCCGAGGCGCGCGCCCCGTTAAAAAGAAAAACATAGGGACTCCCCACCCACCGGAGCACCCCTACCACCACACGCGCGGCCCACCGACAGGGGTGGCCCACGCCGTGCCATGCCCCACTTGTCAGTGACCGTATAGGAATCTCTTGCACTAGGATTCCAAGGTGACGCCCCTGTGGGCCCCACGCCCACCACAACTGGGCGGAAGGCGACGAAAGCGGGCCTCTCGCCGGCCGCCGCGTGGAGCGCCGCCACTCGCCGCCGGTGGGGCCCACCCACGGCGGCCTCTCGCGCGCTCTTGACTCGATCGACCGGTGGATCCCGGCCATGCCGGGCAGTACGGCCGTGGAGAGGGGGGTGGGGTTGGTGGTGGAGGTGACGTTAGCGGTGGCGGGACTCGTCGTCGTCGTCGCCGGCGGCCGGTGGGACGGGCGGAGACGCGGCCGCCGCCGGTCGCTTTCGGGGGCTCTCTCCCTCCCTCGCCGGAAAAATGCAAGTAAGATAGGTTTTCTTTTTCCCTTCCCTTTTCACCACCAAATTAAAATGTTTTTGGAATGTTTTTTTCTAAAATTTTTTGCCCTTAATTTCAAGGGTTAGCAGTTCTTGTCGTCTACTCCTTCTGTCCCAAAAAGAACTAATTTTTTTCTATGAATATGGACATGCAAAATTGATTTTTTTTGGGACGGAGGGAGTAGCTTGATGCTCTTCTCGATCTGACCGTACGTCCAATCGGAGCGAGGTAAGTTGCTCGGGTCAACACGTAATTAGGCCCGGAAAAAAAAATGAAAAATACAAGGGCTAAATGCTGCTAAATTAAACCGGCGCTAATGATTGGTTCTTGCTTGTCAGGGTTCAGCGAGGTTTGGTGATCGATAACGAAGCCGTTTACTTGTGCGAGAGAGCAGCAACGAATTCAAAGGTCACCGATCGAAGCTGCATTGCACATCAGGTGAAAATTAATCTTTTAATTTCACGTGTTTTTGTGGTTTTTACCAGCGTGAAAAGTGGAAAACCCTCGGCCAATGAGATCAAGATCCGGTACGCATACGGAAGGTTGACGGAGTATTGTTCTTTCTTTACGATAGTTATTATTGACATCGTCTATTTTGCTATAATGTTTGTCACGTAATCACGTTTGACGTTTCATGTTAAAAAAAATTCACCAGGATTTTCACTCTGTTTGTAATGATGTTTGTAATGAAAGCTCCTGTAGGCGAGAAGGCGAGAGCTCGAATGGATGAAGAAAGAAGCATAATCGTCTTGTGAGGTAAAATGTTTGAATACAGCATATCTGTAAATTGTCACTGCCTTTATATATAATCTTAAAAACACCTACTCCCTCCATCCCCAAAAAGTGAATCTAGGACTAGATGTGACATATTCTATTACAACTAATTTAGACAAATGTATGTCTAAATTCATTGTAATAGGTTATGTCACATCCAGCACTATGTTGGTTTTTTATGAGACAGAAGAAGTATCTTTTATTTCACATTTGAGTACACCACTTAACTATCTATGACAGGAACCGTTGTGCGTTAGCATGAGCATCCGTTTTCTTACTCATTGCGCATTAGCACATCATTCAACAGTAAAAAGGAGCTGAGAGCTGAACTATTCGGCAAAAAAAATACAAAAGTTAGCAGCATCTCTTTTTCTGACGTAACATAGTATCATTGAGAGAAGAAGAGGTAAATAAGGAAATATAAGAGGTAGAAAGAATTTACCAAATAGGGCACTACTAGCAATTTCACTAGCAGCCATGAAAATAGTGTGGTAGCCTGTTAGGTATTGGTTGCTGATTGTAGCCACTAATCCAGATTAAAATGCTGGTGCTTTACCAATAAATACCTGTAACTGACGTGATGCCACTAGGCCACAGGGTGCAAAAGCCAAAAGGTATGCCATTTTCTGATGCACTGAACCCTGATCTAGACCCTGCCGGACTTCCATCATCCTAGATCCTTTCCTTAATTTACTACTAGTAGTGTTGGCTGTACGCCTACCAGATGTCTGCACCAAAAGAAACCCGCTTGTGCAAAGTGGACACTTGATTCAGAGTATTATTGTTTACACCTGCTTGATCTGCTTGTTTCACAGTTGTATAGATGCAGAGCTACCCTGTTGATTTTCTATAATGCCAAGTGTTCAACTTGAGTTGCCAATAACTGAAAATGCCAAATTTTAAATTAAGTTCTTGACAAACAAAGAAATTTGAGTTCAGGAAAACATACTAACTCCGTCAAAAAAAGACTTTATTTCTGGATACTTACATCTAGACAAGTACTTGTTGATGTACATAACTATAGATCAAACCATAATAGAATTGTGCAATTTCCTCCATATTTTCTACAGTACAAAAGCTCAGTGCCAGACACTCAATCAGGGGGTACCATTTTTCCTCGAAGCGTCAATAGAAGCTAGAGACATGATGCTAAATGGGTTGTTAAGGCGACGACAATATGTAATAAATTAATTAGTTACTGTAATTAATTAGTTAGTGCTACTCCGATTAAGGAACGGATGCAGTGTCATCATGATCTTTTGGACTGCACCATTGGGAGCTAGGAAGGATTCTTCCATCCAGATTCAAAAGGACAAGTTTGCTTCTCCACATATGCCTTTTAAAAAAACCCCGGGAGCAATTAAGAATAAACCACCCTACTTGCGAGTCTGTGACGCAAGCAACAGCCATTGGCCCGGCACAAAGGTTTCTCTGAATATATAAGCTCCTTGCTCAACTATCAACGCCTGCAACTGCATCTCTAATAATTAAGCATCCAAAATGCTCCACGTACATCAAGCACAAGCTCATACAAGTTAGCTAGCTGCCAAAGTTAATTAGCATCACCGGCATAGTGACATGTTAGGTGTAACAGATTCCGTATATCCCTGTGGCCCACATGTCAGAAGAGTACTTAAGCTCTTGTTCGGAAGGCTTGAGATTCTGGGGTGGGTAGCCACTGGTAAGCATCAGGAAAAAAAATAGATTTTCAGCTTCCGGCTTTAATTTATTTTCTAAACTTTATAACTTCAATTCTTAGGATCTTCATAAAAATCTAAACTGTTAAGGAGGGCTGAAAACTCTTTAGAAAAAAGTTGCAGTTGTCAAAAGCTTCTAAACAGGACCTAAGATTGATTAGATGACACATTACAACTTAACTTGTAAGCATGGCAATTAGCATGGAGCTACTACAATATAATGTACTACTTCCTCCATCTACTTTTGATAGTCATATTTTATCTTGACACACAGACCAAGGATAAGTAATTCTACTTATCATTCTATTAAACATGCTAGTAGTCATTCCTCGTAAACAAACGATTCATTAATATTTATATTTATTAATACCCATATAGCCAATCATGTGTGGAAGCATAGAGAGTCATGCATTAAATCCGTGAAAATCATTAAGATGATAGGTTGTTGGATTAAAATATGCCTATCAAAAATAAATTTTTCAGATTTGGAAATATAACTATCAAAAGTTGGAGGGAGTAGTATATAACAACAGTAGCTACGGCCCAAGATGTTTGCATTTGGGGGGGGGGGGGTGGGGTGCAGCGAGATGTGCGATTACACGCACACCTAGATTAATTAGCTGCCTAAATCCTAATCATACATGGGGCATGTTACCCAGCGGGAAACCATCGGAATCGGCGGTTTCGGTGGCGAGAGATAAACAATTCATCGGCGAGTGGAGTGACGTAGGGTTGGTAGTACTAGTACATATTGTGACTAATTAATCGCCATTGTAATTTGTACAACTAAACAAGTTGCCGTCCACGTAATTAACAGGTCATGCATGCATTGCTCGAGGAAAACGGGAGACGATTAAAGCTCCAGCTAGACTGCACGTAATGAAGCTATTTAATTAAGTTGGCGATTAATTAATTAGTATGTAATCTCTCCTTTCGGATGAACGATTAGTGTATAATTAATCTCTCATTACGTAAGTTTGATTAAACCAGTAAGGTTTATTTTGTGTGTACATCGCCGGGGACGGCGGAAAGGCGCGGCGAGCGCCAGATTTTTTGCCTTTTGGTGATAAGCAAAAGGGTAGAAACGGTGCGCTGCGTATGAGAGCTTTTGCTTGGATTTGGTCTGGTTTGATTAGCCCAATTTTTATTTTGGGAGAGAGTGGCTTATCACAGTGCTTATGAGACAACACGTTATATTTTCCTAGTCGATTAAATCGTGCAACAGCAGGGTGCTATAGCGACATCCAATCATGGAGATTAATTTAGGATTTTTGTGTGTCCTTTCTTAACTTATTTAGGCGAAACTTTGCGAGCTGACGGTGACAAATTTCTCATCTGGCCATTACTTAGGGTGAGCAAATTGTTATTTACGATTCTGTGGGCAAAATAACTCTTCAAGTTTCGGAAAGAGTAGTTTCGCCCGGTTGTTTTTCTGCGGAGAGTTGGTTCGAAAGCTCTGTATAATTTTTGGTGCGTAGCGTGTGCATTGTTCAACTAATTGTTTTATTATTATCTTGAAAACGAGAGATTAGTTTCTGTTTGGCATAGGTTGAACTTCTCGTCGGAAACAAAAAAAAATAAACAAAGGTAGGTGAAGTAATCAATCTCGTCCTAATTAAAGAAAACAATACAGGCATTGTATTTTTTTTCACACCGGTGAAACTCTATATCACCATATCCTATCTTAATGTAAAGTTACAATCCACTGAATACTAAACCTTAACATGCAAAAATATCATATCATCATTCACTAACAATTGCTATATCTTAAAGATCATGCAAACATGCTATATTATATATAATTCTCTAATTTATCAAATTTTAAAGCTTTAAAATACAAGTATGTTAAATCATCATCCCACATAATTCACATTATAAAGTTATAACCCACTAAATTTTAAAGCTCAACATGCAAAGATGCCACATAATTATCTACTAACAATTATGACATCTTAAAACATCATGCAAGCACGCTATATTATCTATAATTCTATAATTTATTAAATTTTACAGCTTTAGAATACAAGTATGTTATAAATCATCATCCCATATAATTTACATAATATTTCAATATCCCTCCCCATCATTTTTTATGATATCCTATATACCTATATAATTTATCCTCACTTAGGGAATGTTATTTCTCTCTTAAATCATTAAACCATATCACATCAATTATTTGTAACCCTTATATGATTAATCTATTGTTCAAATTATCTCCCTTCTTCTCTTCTCTCATTAAGTCATATCATCTTAATTATTTTTAACCCTTACATAATTAATCTATGGACTAAATTATCTCACTCATTTTCTTCTCTCATAAAGCCACATCACTTTACTTTTACATTTGAATCATCAATATATATACTATTTAAATTATTGTAGACCACATCAACTTATGCTATCTAGCTATCTTACATATTATTTTTACTTATTGTTATCACATGAAACTCCTGGAGCAATACGTGGGGAAACTGAGGGTTTCACCTAAGTATATAGCAGGTTCATGACCTTGATATATTTTTTAAAGAGTTAATGATCTTGCATAGCACATAAATATTTACCAGAAATTTTGGTGGTTTTTACTCATAATATTTTATGACCCGAATTATTACTAGAAACGTTCTTTACCAATATTTTCTGAGTTTTACTATTAATAGAAAAATGATTCTACTATGGTTGTTGATGCAGAAATATAGATATAGATATGATAGATGAGAAAAAAAGTCTATTGATTTTACCACTAGTAGAATTGAAGCCACTATAGAATTTGTCTTACCCAAAAAAGTTCATTTGCCTCGTACAGTACAAAGACAGGTCATTACCCAAAAATGTTGATCTGGTTGTGTAATAATCTAGATTGGCTTCTTTTGTTTTGTTGGTTGTGATCTCTGGGCTCCAATAGTTGAAGATACATGTTGACTTGCCGTTAAAACGATAAGATCAACAGCTACACAAAACTTGCTCTAGATGTGCAGCACACAGAAGAGCATGGTACAAGTAACCATGAAACACGGTGCATGGGCAGGAAACAAACCTACTACGTCACCTGCCGTAGTTTGCTGCAATAAAAAATATGTCCAAGATCACAGGTGCATGTATCGGTATGAATTGATTAATATTGGAAGTAGCCAATAATAGTGAACACCGGGTCAAATCTAGTTTAGTATAGAGCTGAAGATTCCTCCCCGTCGACTAGAATCCAGCTCCTCTAATTAACTATTCTTGCAACCGAGACTCCTCCCCTTTTTTTTCAGGACATCACATCATTAACTCAGGAAATGCGATTAAAGCTAGCTAGCTAAGCTAGCATTTTTAGTTCAGGTTGCAGCATCTGATTATGAGAGCAGAAACAAATGACTTTGGGCCGGAACGAACGTGCCTCATTTGGGCTTGGGCCACAAATTTGATGTGTGAAATTCAATAGAGGACATGTACGGGTCAATTTTGTTTGAAGTCGATCAAATTGTGCCCTTATTACTGACACTTTGAATAGTACTTTTGATAATGTTTGATTTGCTATCGGAATATACCGATAACATACACAATCAGACAAGATGTTAGCACTACAAAAACTTGTTTAGGTTTTGACATCACTAACATTTTGACATGGTAGCAAACCAAACAAACCCGTATTGCATTGCATCTATTACTTCCTCTAGTCCATTCATCTCATTTCATCTGAGAGATTTAAGATTGAATTGCAACCACAAAAGCACCTTAACACCTCAGTGAATGTCTATTGTACACTATGTACATTTTCATCTATTCACCGCATCTACATATACAGTTATCGTACACCGATGGCTATGCTACAACGTGTAGGGGATCTAAAATTTGGACAGAAAGAAACAAAAAACGGGGAAGATATATAGCCGCTGTGGATGACACCAAAAAAATCACGGGTCAGCTCTCACCAGTTTATGCCCGGACTCAAGCAGTGCCGGTTATCAGTCTCTCCTGTTGATCCAACTTCTTGACCTTCAAAAGGCCGACAAGGACTTGTAGGCCGAAGAACGCGCAGAGAGAGTATGCTATGGTCGCTGGCAACTGCAGTGGATGATTGAAGGTGCAGTGAAACAGCTGTGCAAGAGTAATCTGATGAAAAAGATGAACATGGCTTGTTTGGAAACTTGGTAACTTACCCGGATTGAATTGAGGTAGAGAACGGTGGCGAGGTTTACCAAACTACCTGCGGCAACTCCCTGCGTGATGCGCAAGCAGATTTCACCATTTCAAAACAAACCATAAGACGGTGATGTGCATTACTCAAAACACTTAAGACAGTTTTATTCAAGAAACTAGGATCCTCTTAATAGATAAGGCAGAGCTCATGACAACTTTTTTGAGTTTTTTTATACGAAAAACGTAACAAGGATTGACACTCATTTATTGGAAGTGAGTACTTGTAAATGGTATTTCTTGGATTTTCTCATAATTTAAAGGCTGTTCTACCCAACCAAACATTTTTCCCCTTTAAACAGAAGCACCCTAGGTTAATCTCTAAAGATGTTTCGGCACAAAATTTATTATCTGCACCAGTTCCAACTAACTCGGTCCAAGAAAAACCTTGCATTTTTTTCCTGTACTAGCATAGTGAAATACAAAAAGTAAACCATTCATCAACAATTCTGAACTCACATATCCAATTGTTTTCTGTACAGCTGCAACTCTTTGGAATGCTCTTTCTGACTCCAATGTTCTGACACGAAGCTTGAGATCACCTTGCTCCTGCAAAAGCCAAAAAAAAAAGAGAAAAAAAGAAAAAGAAAGAGGCAATTATCTACGACAGTTCTACAAACAAAACCAGCAAACTGCAGAAAATAATGGAGAAAAGGTGTTTTTTACCAAACGCTCAATGATTTGCGCAAGCTTTTCAACTCTGTCGGGCTGGCGAAATAAATTGTAGAATGCACGGGACTGCCTTTCCCATCTCTTCCTCGCATCCTGAGGTAAAATAAAACCAAGAGCGCTTAAAACTCTCAAGTCTGAACATGCATAGTCATATTAGAAGATGTGCCATCAAATAAGGTATTAAATCTATGGACCAAAGATGAAAACTTGCCTTTACAATAACTTCAACTCCAGCTTCATTAAATCTAAGCAACTCCATAGCATATCTAGCAATTCATTGGATGTATCAAGTCAGAACCCAAATTGCAACTTGAAACTTAAATAAGAAAACAAAATTCTTGAAGGAGAAAAATACTCACGGTTTAGCAATCTCTGTGATATCAAAT